TCGGGTCGGGCGGGCCGGCCCTGACGGGCGGGTCGGGCCGGGCCGGGCCCTAACGGGCGGTCGGGTCGGGCGGGCGGGACGGTGCGTGGGCGGACCCTAACGGGCGGGTCGGGTCGGGTCGGGCGGGCCCCAACGGGCGGATCGGGTCGGGCGGGCGCCGCATTAAAGCATGGTGCGTGTACACCTGACACGCGTGACCCCTACGGACGGGTCGGGTCGGGTCGGGCGGGCGGACCCTGACGGGCGGGTCGGGTCGGGCCAGGTCCTAACGGGCGGGTCGGGTCGGGCGGGCGGGGCATTAAAGTATGGTGCGTGTGCGCTTGACACGCGCGAGCCCTAACGGGCGGGTCGGGTCGGGTCGGGCGGGCGGGCCCGCCGTCCGCGCCAGCGCCCCCGCCGCCCCCGCCCCCGCCACCGCCCCCGCCGTCTCCGCCACCTACCCCGCCACCACCACCGCCCCCACCAACGTGCCCATCACCGTCCGCACCGCCCTCCGCACCAGCGTCCCCGCCATCGCCGCCCGCGCCAGCGCCGCCGCCGTGGGCCGGCGCCGGCGCTGGGCGGGTCGCCGGCGCCGCCATCGCCGGCCCCTCTTTTGCCGCAGGAGTTTTCGTGGTCAGCGGCCCAAAAACGGTCAATAGAGTTTCGCACCCCCCCGAAAAGCCACGACCAGGCTCCGAGGAGACCCAGAAAAGGATCCCGTTGAATTTGCGCCCGAAACCCAGGCGCGGGCGCGGGATGGGCCGAAGGCCGCTGGATACTTTCGAAAGCCACTCCTTGGAGCACGACATGGCGAAGAAAGTGCTTCGCCCCACCTCGCCTGGGCGCCTCTCGTTTGAGCCGCGGAAGCTCTGGGTCACGGCGGGGGTGGCGCCGCGACGATGTCTCCGCAGCATGACGTAGCAATGTTTGGACAGAGCGACGAGCGGCCGCTCTGCGGTTGAACGGCTATCCGTGGATATGTTGTTCCGAATCCATTCCTCTCCCCTCTCCCTCCGCCCATTCCTGCCTCTCCTGCCCTCCCTGCCCCCCCCGTTTTCTCCCCAGTCCCCCCGCCCTCGCCCTCCCCTCTCTGCCCCTCCCGTTGCACAATTCCACAATATGGATACTACTTTCCTCTCTCCCCCTAGTCTGTGCAGAGAGTCTCCCGCCCTGTCCGCGTATTGTTGTTTCACGCAGGATTTGAAAAGTTGATATGTTTTATGTGTTATTCCACTCCGATTGTTTTCGATTGTTCAAAATGTTGTTCCCGCTGCAGGGCTGGCCCCGCTTCCGCGCTTCCAATTGTTCCACATCGAACTCCCGCGGCAGCACCGGCGTGTTCGGTCCTTCCAGTAATGCCCACGGTCTAAAGATAAGCCCTCCGAAAAGAGCATCGGTCGTGATAGCACATCCGGAGTCGATTCGCTGAATTGTTGGGGCTTTGACGCCCCCCCCCCCCTTTGGGGGCGTCGTCGCTGTTCTGAAGCAGTATCAAGCAGGAACCCTGTACAGCTTCGAACAGGCGATGTTGAAAGCAGAGCCAGCGGGTTCTATCCGACAGCCCTTCTTGCGAGGGGCTTTTCGGGGAGCCTAAGGAGCTGGACATGGAGCCGCGGCTCCAGACGGGCCCAGACCTCTCCACGACGATCCACTTACCCTCCGACGAGTCAGGCGCCATGCCATGACATGCTGCGCGGTGCGGTGTTGTGTTCCGCGCCGTTGTGCGACGCCACGCTTTGGGTCCAGACCATGACCGATGCTGCCAGCGACTTTGTCGCCGATGACGTCACCATTACACGGGCAAAACCCATGCCCGTGGCCGTGACCGTGGCCGTGACCGTGACCGTGGCCGTGGCCGTGGCCGTGGCCGTGACCGTGACCGTGGCCGTGACCGTGACCGTGACCGTGACCGTGACCGCGACCGTGACTGTGACCGTGACCGTGACCGTGACCGTGACCGTGACCGTGACCGTGACCGTGACCGCGAGCGTGACCGTGACCGTGACCGTGACCGTGACCGTGACCGTGACCGTGACCGTGACCGTGACCGTGACCGTGACCGTGACAATGACCGTGACCGTGACCGTGACCGTGACCGTGACCGTGACCGTGACCGTGACCGTGATCGGGACCGGGACCAGGGCCGGGTCCGGGTCCGGGTCCGGGTGCGGTCCCGGGTCCGGGTCCGGGTCCGGGTCCGGGTCCGGGACCGTGACCGTGACCGTGACCGTGACCGTGAACGTGGCCGTGACTTGATCCAGCGCCTTACTGAAATAGCTGATATCCCCCTTTGGCCCCCGTGAACCTCGAGTGAGACTGGAACGGCTTTTCCGCACATCTGATAGTACCATAGTTCGAGTCCCCACTGACGTCGGTGATGCTGGATAATCACACGGAGCCCAAGCAGCCTTCCCAAATGTTTTGTTCGAAACTTGCCCGGAATCCCGAATGACTTGTGAACCCAGTAACTCGGACTATTCCCTAAACACTGTTTGCACCTAGGGGGTCCTGCTGTTTTTTCAAAGAGAAAAGCCCGTCTGCGGGCCCAGCAGCCCCGCTCCCGTCTGTCGCCTCCCCAATCTTCCTGATCGAACGCCCGTCTGCGGGCCAGGCGGCCCGTTCTCGTCCGTAGCCCCACCACATCAGGCCTACACCACATAGCTCACACCACGTCGACTACACCACATAGCTCACACTACGTAGATTGCGATTCTATGAACATTCGATCGAACACAACACATTATCATACACCAACATCGTTTACATCACAGAAGCCTGCCACGCACAGCCCACAACACATAGCTCACACCATGTATGTCATACAACATAGTTTACACGTTTACACCACACCGTGTGCAATGCTTAACTTCCACATCCTGGCTCCCAATACATCGATTTCGCAAAATCGCCCACACTATGCAGTGCAAAGCCGGTCGCTTGGACAACGCAGCATCCAGCACAGCTTGCACAGCGTTAGTCGATACGTCACACCGCACAGTCCACATATCATAGCCTGAACGGCACCGCTTCCACCACAGAGCTCGCACACTATAGATTGCACCATGCAGCTCCCGCCGCACGGCTTACACAAGACAGCTTGCACCCCGTACGTACTTTGCGCAAAACAAATTTCACCTCCACGGTGCAATAATCCACCGTTTCGGTCCATACTGGCCAACATATCAATGACTCCCACCAGCCCTTTAGGGCGCAGGTGCTCTAGAGTGCCTTTTCTTCCATCAGGCCCTCTAGGAGTCCTCTTCCCCCTTCGGGGAAGGGCATACCCCTCCCCCTACCCCCTCTTGGACCTGGACGAGGGTTCCCGCGAGGGGTTGGAGCGTCCAACATGGCCCAAGATGGCTCCAAGAGCGCCCCGGAGAGCCCAAGAAGAGTTCCAAGGTGTTTCAAAATACCCCAAGATGCCTCAAGATGGCCCCCAAAATGCTCCAATAGGCCCGAAGACCGCCCCACGGCGGCTCCAAGAGACCAAAAAGCTCCCCAAGGAGGCCCCGAAGAGGCCTACAACCGTACAAAACCTAAAAACAATCAATGTTGTGTGCTTTCTCGCCTTGTCGCTTCCGGTGGCCTTCCGAAGCCTCAAGATGTCTCCAAGAGGGCCCGAGAGGGCCTCAATAAGGGCCCAAGAGAGCCCCAAGAAGGTCCCAAGAGCGTCCAAGAGCGCTCCAAGAGCGCCCCAATAGGGGCCCAAGGGGCGGTTTGGGGGGTTTTAAGGGGGGAGGGGAATTGGGCCCCCCCCCTTCTTTGCTCGAGCTCTTCCAAGATGGTCCCAAAAGCGCCTCGAGGCCCCGAGGAGCGCCTCAAGAGGGCCCCAAGAGGCACCCAGGAGGCCTCAAAAAGTACCCAAAAGGCCTCCAAGAGGCTCCCGAAAGACCCCCAAGAGGCCCCAAGAGGCTCCCAGGGCACCCAAGAGCGCTCCCAGAGGAATCATTCCTCGGTGTGCTGCCCACTTCCCTGATCGAGGCAACTCCTCTAGGCATCGTTTCTGGATGGGCTGTTGGGTTTTAGTCAGCGGCCGCGGGCGAGCGTGCCGGCGGCGTGTCAGGTCAAAGCGGGCTTCGCAGAGACTAATTCGGCAAAGGAAACGCAGGAAAAACAACAAGAGCGACGCGCGAGGCGACAACTATACGCGGCCGAGGCCTCAGATGGGTGGCTGTCGGGACTGAGACTGAAGGGAACTGCCAGCGCGCACAACTGCAAGTCCGTCGGAAGCGCCAACCGTCGGAAAATCAACGACGGCCAGGGATCACTCCGAGAGAGAAAACGGGATACCGTACCTCAGACGACTGCGTGGGCACCAGGGTGGCCGTGGCCAACGAAACGTCGGTCGAGGTAGGAAAGAGAAGTGCAAAGGCGAGGCCCAGGACGGCGCGAAGCGCGAGAAACAGGGTGGTCCAAAGCACCGTCGGCCAAAGAATTGACGCCAGAGGCGAGAGCGTTGGCAAGCAGCAGCCCCCAAATGGGCGGAAACCGAGGGACGAAGCGGCATAGCCGCGACGCAAACCAAAATGGCGCGGGTCACGGGCTGTTGGGTTACTTATTTTTGTTCGGCGGCTCCAAGGAAAAGCCCAGGGAGCGGTCACAACGTCCGGGGCGCGGTACTTCGTAAATTTGCGAATCCAGCCGCCACTGTCGGCAGCCGACCGCACCTGCAAGCAAGCTCGCAGTTGCACATGCACAATACAAAATGACTAAATTCGCAGGCGACTCACATAGGCGCAGCAGCGAACCGAGAGGCGCGAGCAACAGGTGCGATGACAGCTGAGAGTCGCCATGCGGCGCCAAACTCAGGCAAACCGGGCGAAGTGAACGAGCGACCAGCAAACACTAGGCTGAACCATGTACAATGGAGAAGCCACGGCCTATCGCACCGAACACACAAGCGCTGGCTGTTGGGTTTCGCGAAGCGTCAAAACCGTGGGGCTGCAGGAAAAATCACAACATCCCCTCCCCCAGGCCGTAATACCGTCAAGTTATATTTTGACTCACTCTGCCCTGGCCGCAGAGGGGGCCTGGGATGCTGGGATGCTGGGATCCTGCTGCTTTGCTGAATGGCTGGGATATCCTGCTGCGCTGCCTGCGCCCCAGATTGCTACTGCAGCTTAACTGCGTTCTGCGGGCCTCCCGGTGCAAAATCATGGTGGGCAGGGGGCCCTACCTAGGCATGGGGGGCGCAGCCCGCCGCTGCATTACAGCGCGGCCCTCGACCTTCTCGAGGACCCGATGAACTTGGGTTTGCCCTGGATCAGGGCCCAGAATCCGTCAAGGCCCCAGGGCCTCAGGTTCCCCACGTCGCTGTCCTGGGACATCACCGACATGCATAACATCAACTTCAGGTTCGCCTGTTGCTGGTCCCCCCTGAGCACGTCCATAAATGGCGGGGGCGCGATCCCATCCTGCCACAGCAGCCTGCCCTTTAGCAGGTGTAAGTTTTTCTGCCGTCTGGAACTGGTCGGCGCTGGCCTCACTCAGTTGAAACTGAAGCTGATGACCTCGCGCACCCGCTCATTCGGTGTACTTGGTAGCCCACTCCAAGGCCGTCAGTCGTAGCTGAAAGATGTTGGCGAAGTCCTTGGGTGCGGGTGGTGCAACAGCCGCTGCGACACTGGCTTCGACCACCTCAGCTTCACCTGGGGCGAATGCGTGCCCCGATTTGGAGAACGACTCGATCATCCGATCCAAGGAATACTGCTGGGCTAGACCTGGCTGCTGCGCACCGCCAGGGCCACGACCAAGCATCTGCCCGCACTCGCACAGCAGGTCCTTCTTGAGCCGACCCTCACACTTCCACTTGGAGCACGACTCACAGACGACGTAGCTCCTGACACGTTTCTGTTCCTTGTCGTGCTTGCGGTCCTGCTGCGCGTCCCAGTCGTAGTTCCTCCAGCCTTCGCCCATAGCAGCAGGATAACGAGACTAGAGAGATAGCCCACGGACATGCCAAAGGTGGAACATGTGCCCGAGCTGGGTCGAGGTCGCCAGACCTTGAAAGGGGCAGCCATTCCACCTCGGCCTCGAGCCTCTGGAGACGGAGCGGGAAGTAAGCTCCGTATTGAGCCACGACGGCCACGGCTCCCTCGCCCTCAGCCTCCTCGTCCTCCTTCTTTTCGTCTGCGCATGTTCCCGTCTTGATCCCGGTGGGACTTGTGTGAGCTGTGCATGCTGCGTTTTCTGACGTGAGTCGAATCGGGACGGGAGATGGCAGAGTATGGAAGAGGAGTGGGCCTCCGTCGTACTCTCCTCACCATCCGCAAAGGTGAAATTGCTACATGATGTGCCTTCCTTTCCTTCATCGCCCTGCATATGGCGATTGCTTCCCTCCATGTACTGCAGCATGCAGGCGTGACCGAGTTGCTGACGCCTCTAGCAATTGTGCCACTCGCTCGTTCCAGGAGGTCCCTTCCTCCTCCGCCTCCTCCTCCTCCTCCACCTCCTCACCCTCTCTCCACACCCGTCTCTTCCGTTAACAACTGCAGAATATGAAGAATTCTCTCCTCTCTCCCCGGATGACGTCCGGAATATATCTGCCCCCCCCGCGTAGTGTTGCTTACGCGCAAGATTCCCGGAAAATGGGTTTCCAATTGGGTCTTGTTTTCAAAATGTTGCTCCCGCTGAAGCGTTGGCCCCTTTCTGCGCCATTGGTTGTTCCAAATCGTGCTCCCGCTGCGGCGCAGATGTTCTCGGTCCTTCAAACTGGGTCCTGATATCTAGAAAATTGCCCTCCGAAAAACCATTGGAAGTGATTGCACATTCGTCGTCGATTCGTTGATTTTTTTGAGCCGCAGAAGCACCCCCCCCACTTTTGGGCGTCGTCGTGTTCAGGAAGTATTAAGCGAGAGCCCCGTTTCTGCTTTGAGAAGACGAGGTTGGAACCAGAGCCTGCGGGTGCTCTCCATCAGCCCCGCCTTGTGTGCAGATTGTCGGGGGAGCCTGAGGAGCTAGGTATGGAGCCGCGACTCCAGACCGGCCGAGACCTCTCGAAGACGATCCACGTACCCTCCAAGGAACCCGGCCAATGCCATGACATCCTGTGCGGTGGTGTGTGCGATGCCATGCTTTGCGTTGCAATGCTTTGTGATGCAATGCTTCAGTGCGCAATGCTACGCCATGCTATGGCATGCTAACGCTCTTCCGTGCTCTTCTACGCCATGCCATGCCGAGCCCTACCATGCATCACGTACCCTCTCGCGATCATTGCCCTCCTCAACATCCGAGTGTGCGAATAGAGAAGAGATCTACGCCATGGTAAGGGATTGAAGGGAGGGGTAGGACGTCAGATATGAAGCGAGCGCACCTAGCTTGTCTCCCCCTCCTCCCCCTCCTCCTCCTCCTCCTCCTCCTCCTCCTCCTCCGCCTCCTCCTCCTCCTCCTCATTCTTCTCCTCTTCCTTCTCCTTCTTGTGTTCGAATTGGGCAACTTCCTCCTCCTCCTCCTCCTCTTTCTCCGTCTCTCTTCCCATTCCTGCCTTCGCTGCCCTCGGCCTCTCCCCACCACTCTCCCCGCCTCCCCTTCACCCTCCGCCCCCCTCTTCATCGATAACTGCTCCTCGCCTGACCACTGGACGTGTCTGTAAGGCGGGCTCTTCGTTTCACCTGAAACTTCCTCCTCGTTTATGATACCGAAGGTCGACATTTCCAACAGCCAAGAAGGATGGAGTGGAATTCTGTTCTAGATTCGGCTCGGTCCTGAGCGCCACTCGCAGTCGCCGTCGGTGTTAAGGCCTGCTTCAAGATTTTCAGGACGCAACAGTCACGTTGATTCGCGGCGCTGAAGTCCCAGGAACGGGGCTTTGCCACGACTGGGGATTCTCAAAAGAATGTCTTCCAATAGGGCACGTGCCGCAGTGACAGTCAATTCTTGAAGAGACAAATAGGAGAATTGGAGGGGTGGATCATTGCAACATTGTTAATGCGTCTTGGGTTTACACTGGTCCTCCTCCTTCACCTCCTCCTCCTCCTTCTCCCTTGTTCTCTTCGGAGCAGAGGAGAAGCGACGAGGAACGGAGGAGGGTCCTTGTCCGAAAGGATCTCCGGGGCGTCGTGCAGGTCGAGCGCGGCGGGGCAGCCGACTGGCGCGCCAGGCAGTTGGTCCTGCCGCAGGACGCGGATGAGCGGCATGCCAATTTTCATGTCGCCCCCAGGTGAGGCCCAGACCCCCTCGCGTCGTGGAGAACAGAAGCAACGGATGGTTTGCCGTTTGCCGCCTCCAAAAGCCCATATTGGACCCAGAACCATCAAACTGACCGTGCGGAAGGTATGACCTCTGGAGCTCCACGTTGTGAAACAGATCTAGGACTTGGGGAGGGTAGCACCAGTGTGACTTGGCCCGAAGGCGCTTCGCGATGCAATCACAGCGGAAGCCGAAGCCAAATATCGAACGCACAAACCTGGAGCACACACGGAAATGGAAGGTTCCCCATGGTGAAGGTCATCACCTTAAGGGCTCATCATCCGCCGCTTCCCTCCTCCTACCCTCATTACACTGCTTCTCGCCCTCCTACTTTGCTCCTCCTGCTCCTCCTGATGCTGCTGCTGCTGCTGCTGCTCCTCCTCCTGTTTCCTCTCCCCGTCCTCCACCTATTCCTCCACCTCCTTCTTCTCAGGAGGAGAAGGGCGAGGGGGCATGCGCATGTAAGTGGACTAGGAAGGGGGAGTCGGGAAAGGACAGCTGAGAGGAGGGACCCCCTCCCCCGAGGCCGCCCAAGTCTCCAACAACCGCTGCTCCCGATGCTGCAGCGACTTCCGCAGGCGCACGTTCTCCTCGCGCCAGGGCGGAAGGAGGACGCGGAGGACGACGGCGACGAGCAGCAGGAGGATAACGAGAAGGAGAAGGAGCAGGGGGAGCGGGGGAGCACCCCTGTCGCAGGGCGCTTGGCAGATGCTTGTGGCCGCGCCCCTCCACTAGACGCTTCTGAACAGCGCTTCTGCAGCCGCCCGAGGCCTGGCCGATGCACCGTGCCTGCGCGTCTTGGCTGTGCTGCTCGAGCTCGACGGCCACCTCGCGGAATCCAACGTGGCGGCCATCGCTGCCGCTGCTTGCGCTCATCTTCCTGAACATTGGTTAAGCGAAGACAAAACACGTCGATGCAGTTGTTTGTTCGTTTCGGGCTAGTTCACGTTTCGTCTCTTGCGGGACTCTCCCGAATCATTCTGACTACTGAAGATGTGCATGCCAAAGGGTATAGGAGCATTGCCCTAACACGTGCGCAAGAAGTGGTGACCGCCTTGCCTTCCTCTCAGGCCACCCGGGGCGGAGTGCCTGCCAGAGGCCGGGCCCCAAAGGCAGCGCCACGCGCTGCCAGCGCCGCCGGACAGCGACGTCGGCGAGCGGCCCCGCGAGCTGGAGCAGCCCGTTGGCCCTGCCCCCGGCCCCCAGTGCCCGCTGCGATGCCGGCCCCACTGGTGCCACCACGGGCCGAGCCCAGCTCCTGGAAGCCATCCCTGAGACGGGGGGGGGGAGAGGTACGGGCTAGGCGGCGAGGGGCCGGATGGCACTACGCTGTCGCCCGTCCACACTGCGGGCTCAGTGGCTGGGGCCGGCTCGCAGATGCTCCCCCGCGCCGCCGCGTGCTCGACGTGTTTCTACGCCACTCTGCGCGAAAACTTCAGGCGCTGCTACACCTGCTCCTTCGACTTTGACATTACCGTCGTCTCTGGATTCGCCGCAGACGGCTGCGGATGATGGTGCCGGATTCCGCTACGAAGCTCCTGCTGCTGGCTGCAATCATCCGCAGCTGGCGCTTCTAGCCCAGCGTCGACCCATGCACGCGGCGTTGGACCTGCCCGTGCGGCTCCCAATGCTGCGCCTCGCGCTCTCCAATGCCCATGTGCACTGCAATGTGTTGTTGCTGAGGAGGAGGCCCTTCTGGAGGAGGCCCTTTGGACGGCAGGCGACACGAAAGACACTGGTTACCTGGGTGCCGCAAGGTATCCTCCGTCAGCCTCGGCTGCGCAGGTGCTGGTGCGTAAAACGTGGTTGCGATACTGGCGGATGTCGCTCGCTCAAGATGGCATGAAAGTGAAAGTAAATGCCCTTGTGTGGAAATGCGCACTGTCTGCAAGGACGTCTAAGCCTACCGCTGAGTGTTCTCGAACAGTGCGCGTGGACTGTCGTTGATGATGCCCTCTTCTGGATGCATGTGCGCAGGTGTGTGCGTCCAGGAACATTGCCTGAATCGCCGCCTGCGCATTGCGCCCACGCCTGGTCTTCAGGTCAGGGCCGTCTGTCCGTGACCACTCTATGGGACGTTCCCGTTGCACCGTCTACCTGCGGGCGTCTCCCCTAGTTCGCTCGACGGGCCGCCCCCGCCTTACCCTCTTGAAATCCGCTGGTCTCCTTGTGAGGCCATCCAGTCTGCGGGACTTCGGCTTGCTGCTCCCTGCTCCTGTTCCAGCTTCAAATCTCCCACGTTATAGGCCGACCTTCTACTTCTTATTGTGAATTGGTGGAGCCCGCGCGAGGGGGGCGGGAGCGCAAAAATATCAGAGTTTCCTGCGGGGCCGTGGGACACGTAAAACACATGATATTCACGCGCCCGAGGAAATAATGCATCGCACGTTCTCAAGATTCGCGCCCGCGAAGCCACAATCCCCTGTAAATTTTAAGACTCGCGCCCCCGAGGCCACGATCCTTAGTACATTACGCAATGTTTGCGTCCTCGAAGCTATACCCCCTAATAAATGACGCAATGTTCGCGTCACCGAAGCCACGGTCCCCCATCAATTACGCAATGTTAGCGTCCCCGAGGCCACGGCACCCCGTATATTACTGTGTAATTGCGTCGCAGAGGCCACGATCCTCTGTAAATAATGCAATGTTGGTGTCCTCGAAGCCACGATAATTTCCAAATCATAAAATGTTGTCATCCTCGGAGCCATACTTCGTTGAAGCGCATGCAATAATCGCGTCCGCGAGGCCGTAAGCCAATGTAGCGTACGCAATGTTCGCGTCTCCGAGGCCACGCCCCACCCCCCGTAAAGTATGCAATGCTCGCGCTTCCAAGACACGATCACTCGTAAAGTGCGCCACGTTGGCGTCCTCGGCAATATAATCACTTCAGAGCTACGCAATGCTCGCGTCCTCGAGGCCACAAAAACCATCCTACATTATACGAGCTTTGCGTCCCCCAGGCTACGGCCCCTCGTACCTCGTAGATTACTGAATGTGACCGTCCCCGGGGCAACGATTCGTTGTACATTACGCGAAATCTGCGTCCTCGAAGCCCTAATCCATTCCACAGTATACAATAATCGCGTCGTCGACGCCATAGGCCGTCTTAAATTATACAATACTAGAACCATCGCGCGCGCTTCGCGCGCGCTCAGGTTCTAGCCCAGGCCCGGGGCGCGCTAGAAGATCTTGGACAGCGCTATCAAGCACAGGCGCGTGACACGGCCTCTTGGGAACCTCTTGGGTCTTCGTGGGGGCATCTGAAGGGCTTCTGGGGGGTTCTCCGTGCTTCATCAATTGGCTGTTGAAGCCCGGCGGTCCCGGCGGCGTCCCAGGAACGGTCTCAGGTTTTTGGACCGGAGGCCGCATGTAGACGTACATGAAGGTTTCTGGGGAAGCCTCTCAGAAGCCCGTTGGGGCTCTCTTGGGGATCTCCTGGGTGCTTCCTGGGAACCTCGGGGGGCCTCTTGGAAGCCTCTTGGGGGGCCTCTGGAGGCCCTTCGGGGCCTGCCGCGGGCGTCTTGTGGGCCTCTTGGGGCCTCTTGGGGGTCTCTTAGGGGCCTCTTGGGGGCCTCCTGGGGCGGGGGGGCTGGAGGTTCAGTTGAGTTTCCCGTCTTGGGCCCCTCTTGGGGCCCTTCGGGGACGCGTTTGGGCCGTCCTGGGCGCCTCTTGGACTGTCCTGGGCCCCTCTGGGGCGTCTTGGGGCTCTCTTGTGGGCTTCGTGGGCCGTCTTGGGGCGGTCTAGGGAGAGTCTGAGGTCGTAAAGGACGGTACGAAGGACAACAAATCAAATATGGTAAGAATGTACGTTTTACGAAGGGAAGGGGCTATTTTTGCTTCCCTGGGCCGTATGGGGGGGATCTCTTGGAGGGGTCTTCGAGCGTCTTGGAGGCGTCTGGGGCGGTTCGAGACGCCTCTTGAGCCGCCGGAGACCGCTGGAGGTTGTCTTCAGGGTGGCTCTGGGCGGCCTTGGGCCGCCTGGACGGCCGTCTGGGCGCTCCGGGGGCCGACCTGGGGCTCGCCGGGGAGCGGGCTGGGCCCGACGTCCCCCCAGCTCGGAATTCTACAGTGGCTTTCTCCCTCTGGGACCCCTCTCGGGCACGCCTTGGGGCTTTCTTAGGCCATTTTGGAATCCAATTTTGCCGTCCTGGGCGCCTCGTGAACCGTCTTGGAACTCTCTTGGGGGCCACCTAGGCCGTCTTGGGAGCCTCTTCGGACGTGTTGGACGCGGTGAAAACCCAACAGGCGACCATGTGAAAAGTATACGTTTTCCTTTAGGAATGGGACCATTTTTGCTTCTTGGACCTCTCTTGGGGTGCCTCTCGGAACGTCTTGGGCTGATTTTGGAAGCCTTTTGGCGCCTCTGGGCGGCGTTTTGGCGCCTCCTGGGATGTGTTGGGCCGGAAGCTCGGAATTCGAGAGTGGCTTTCTCCTTCTGGGACCCCTCTCGAAGTCGTCTTGGGGTTCTCTTGGGCCGTCTTGGGGCCGTCCTGAGCCACTCGTGCGCAGCCTTGGAGCGCTCCCGGAGGCCTCCTAGGCCGTCTTGGAGGCCTCTTGGGCCGTCTTGGACGCGGTGAAAGCCCAAGATGCGAACATGCGAAAAATATACGTTTTCCCATAGGAATGGCACGATTTTTGTTTCTTGGACCTCTCTTGGGGTGCCTCTCGGAACGTCTTGGGGTGCTTTTGGGAGCCTTGTGGCGCCTCTTGGCGGCATTTTGGCGCCTCCTGGAGCCTCTTGGGCCGGAAGCTCGGAATTCGAGAGTGGCTTTCTCCGTCTGGGACCCCTCTCGAACTCGTCTTGCAGCTCTCTTGGGCCGTCTTGGGGCCGTCCTGAGCCACTCGTGCGCAGCCTTGGAGCGCTCCCGGAGGCCTCCGATGCCGTCTTGGAGGCCTCTTGGGCCGTCTTGGACGCGGTGAAAGCCCAAGATGCGAACATGCGAAAAATATACGTTTTCCCATAGGAATGGCACGATTTTTGCTTCTTGGGCCTCTCTTGGGCTGCCTCTCGGAGCGTCTTGGAGGCTTCTGGGACCTTCTTGGTGTCATGACAGGCGTCTTGGAAGGCATCTGGAGCCATCGGAGCGCGTTCCGAAGCCGCCTGCGAACGATCTTCGACGGCGTCCGGCGGTCCGACGAGCCTCCGGGCCCCCCGGGGCCCACATTTGTGGTCGAGGTCCCGGCCCCGGGGCCCCCCGGCCCCTGTGCGCCGTTATATGTATATTTGCGTCACCGAGGCCACGATCCCTCGCAAATTCCAGAGATTTGCGTCCTCGAGGCCACGATCCTTGTATACATTTCGCTGCATTCGCGTTCCCGAGGCTACGATCCTCTGTGGATTACGAGATGCTCGCGTCCCAAGCCACGATCGTCAGCAAATTCGCAATACGAACCGTCAGACATCGGGAGATGTTCTCCACTTTTGCTGTGCAAGGCGTAATGTAAGATCTTGGCCCTCGCGTGAAGTCCCGACATTGCTTCACGACGGCGCGCTTGCATCCCAACTGAGCTCTGGCGTGCCCCATCCTACGAGAGAGGGGGGCCGACGGTGATGGGCGAAACCATTCAGGGCTGAATGCATGTATAGCTGCGCCTGGAAACACTTTGCTTCTCTAGCTCCTGCTCTCTCGGCACCCGTCCTCCGAGGTTGGAGCTGCTTTTCTCTAGCGTGGCCCCTTGGAACCGTCACATGCGCACATTACCTTATGATATGTGATCACTGCAGGCGGCAACCGTTATGGATACCTCGATGTGCCCTTTGTTCCTAAAGCCCCTCGCTCCTTTCATCCTTCCTCCCCTCCTTCTCATCTCCTGCCTGCTCATAAATGTTCTCCTCCTCCTCCTCCTCCTCCTCCTGCCTGTTCCTCCTCCTCGCCGTGACCTCCAGACCAAGCGGTGCGGGTGGAATTTGATTTCCCCGTCTGTGATCCTGGGCTAGCACGGGCAGGACTGTAGATTGCCGTGCGCGTCTCCCGCAAAACTGCAGGCAGATCTCAAAGACCCGTGGTTTCGAGGTCTGGGCTCCAGGGCCGCCTGGAAACTGGGGTTGCCAAAGGGACGCATCAACGCTAACGTCGCCATCTCCTTCCTGCAGAAAATGGGTCCCAGGCAGCCCCGACGGTGGTCTTTAATACTTTCTCGTGTAGGTCTCCTGAACAAGTCTGAAGCAATGTGGCCGTGAAACATCCACGGATTGCCGATGTGGGTACTGATATCGAGCAGGAACCTCAATCCCTCATGTATTATCTAAGCAATGTGTCGTTGGCACTGCTTGAGTGAGCACGTCGGAGCTGGAAGAAGGGTTGACCGCGAGAGCGTTCGGGCAGGGGAGGCGAGTAAATCAGCTACCAAGCCAGGGGTTTAAGAGAACACCACGTGGCGGGAACAACTATCCAGGGTCGGCTGACCCTCCCCTTGGCCCCGGCCTCTGATGTCGCTGCCGCCGCTTCTGGCGCTGCTCCTATGGGTAAAGCTGACCACGATCCAACGTTCATCTGGAAATCCTCGACGTGCCGCACGTACATGCAACGACTCAAGATGAAGGTGTTTCTCGATCACAGGGGCCACATTGTGTGGTAGCCGCCAGAGCCCCAGCAGGGTGAACCTTGCTTGGAATTTAACTGGCGGCTCAGAGGTGCCCTGCAGTATGATCTTGCGAATTTCTGTAGAGATTGTCCAACTCTGCGATAATTGCGGGTATTGTTTTAGGAATGCCTTTGCATTACGTCGTTGACAAAAAAAGGCACGGATTGATAACCACACTTCAGACCCGCTACAAGTTCAACCCATGCAGTCCTGGCGCCCACCCCGACAAGAAGAGAGGGCTGTCCAGGGTGCTCTCTTTATGGGCTGGCTGGAGCTCCTTTGAGGGAACTTCCTGGAGGAAGCCGAAGGGAGGAGCTCCCATGAGGGATCCGAGAAGCGCGGAAGCATCATCTCGTCATTGTTGAGTGGGGGGGCGCCCCTCTCTCTCTCTCGTGTTGTTTTGCGCCCCCCTCTCTCTCTCTCTACATATACCGCTCTCTCTCTCTCTCCTCTGCTCCTCTCGCTTGTCTCCTCCAGTTTCTCGTCATCCACCTCCCCCTCCTCCTCCTCCTCGTCCTCCTCCTCCTCCTCCTCCTCCACTTCCTACTCCTCCTCCCCCTCCTCCCCATCCCCCCATCCACCCCCCCTCCTGCCCTCTACTCCCCTCCCCTGCGCGCCACTCGAGCAGCTCCTGGCGCAGGGTGCTCGCCTCCGCGCTGCTGCTGCCCAAGGCGCGGTCCAGCTCCTCCAGCAGCCGGCTCTCCAACTGAGCTAGCTGGGCGGACAACGCCTCCGCCGGGCTGGGAGGGGCGGGGGGCAGGACGGAAGGTCGAGGGTCCAGGTAAAGAAAACTCATGTCGAGACGACCTGGGCTTTGGTTTCCGACACCGCGTGGATCGTTCAACCTTGAACCAATCGGCGGCCCGAAATCCCGAATTCCCTGCGGCGGGAATCGAGATTTCGGGAAGGATGGGGCCAAACAGGACCCGAAATCCTAGGTTCCTGGCGGCGGGAACCCGCCGGGCTGAGATCGGGGGGCGCGAAGATGGAGGTTAGAGGGTGGAAAAACGAAGGTCGAGGATCGAATTTCCGTTGACGCGTTCCGCCACCCCGGCTGGGTTCCCCTCGAAATTCTCTTCATGACGCTCCTCATGCGAGATCCTGTGGGGACTTCGAGGGAGGAGGAGGGCAAGGGGCAGACGCGACGGGGGAGGGGAGGGGGGGCAGGTGGTAACGGCGAGAAAGGGGAAAAGGTGAGGGGGAAGAAGGATGGGGAGGGCGAAGGGGGGGTGGGGAGGAGGAGGACGCGGAGGAGGTGGAGGAGGTGGAGGAGGAGGAGGAGGAGTGGGAGGAGCAACCCAATGGTAGACTAGTGACTAGAGTGAGAAGGCTGGCCCAGATATCGAGCATGTTTTTTGCCGAACGCTGGGCAACTGTTGGAATGCCGGCCAAGATTGCAGGATGTGTCGTCGGCCAGAGACACGCGCACGTGGCCAGCGTCTCTGTACTCCTAAACATGCGTGAGATTCGCGGGGCCATCATCCAATAGACCGCATACGTAACGAACGCAAGACCCTGGACGCGACCACATACTCCCGCTTGCACCTCTGACCTGTAAAAAAAGGCACGGTAGGGGGATAGGCTGACAGCAACAACGACAAACAACGGTTACGATAACACGTGCACTACCTAGAAGCAGAGATTGAACACCGCATAGCCTCGAACGAAGAATCGGGTACCAAGCGCTCCCCACTCCAAACTACAAACGTACATCGGCCCAGAACAAGACAGACACTCATTACCCGGGAAGAGGAGCAGGCCGACCCTCGGGCCACTTCCTGATCCCTCGTGGACTCCCTGCAACGCTTCAGAACCTGATAGGTCCTCCCCGAGATCTATTGGAATTTCCTGACGCCCGGCGAACTTCCCAGCAAGCTCCAGTCCTTCATCCTCCCAAGTCTCGCTCATCCAGCATTGGGGCAAATATTAAGCAAGCAGGGTGGCTCTCTGGCGACCTCAGCCCCGCTCCTGGGGCACGCCCCTGTAAACCTCGTGGACCCCCAAAGAATCCAAGGCAGCACTGATCATTCCTCCCCTCTTCCCCCTGCCAATCGATCCTCCCTCCCCCCACCTCGTCCAATTCCAGAGCTGGGGCAAAATGAGAAAATGAGCGGACGAGATCTCGGACCGCGGGTCCACCCCCCAGAGACTGGAGATCCAGCCTCCCGAGGGAGGGGGGGTGAGCCAGGAGGAGGGAGAAGGAGCCAACGAATAGGAGGTGCCCTCAGCCCGCGACGGGGTGACTTAGGACGCGGAGCCGACTGCAGCTCACCAAATGTGGGATTAAGAATAAGGAGGGAAGACGGGAGGAGGGAGAAGGAGGAGGAAGAGGAGGAGGAGGAGGAGGAGGAGGACCAGAGGAAACCCAATAAGCATCAACGATGCGATGATGCTACGATACCCGCCGTCCCAAGGTCCCTCCCAAAAAGTCCCTACACGCCTTCCTTCTCACTAAAGGAAGCGCCCCTTGAAAGACAAGCGCGCTCTGGGCCTGCCATGCAGGTCAGAGCGCCGCATGCAGGCCAGAGCGCCGCTTTGACTGCCTCGCATGCTTCTACATAGCGGGTTCAAACAATGCGTCAGGGAGAAGTAAGTGTCCATCGACGAACAGACAGTTGAACGAAATGTCCTCAGAGAACCATGTATGGAAAACTAACCGTCCCCGATCTGAACAACTGTTGAACAACTTTATTTCCAAGCGTTGACTGTGCGAACGTCTCATGCGAAGAACCCCATGTTGACAAGAACCGTCCTCCGTCTGTGCTGGCCGTTGACCGGGAAGAACTTCCAAATGAAAACCATGGAACAGAAGCCGCCCTCCATCCGTGTAGCTTTTGCACAAAATCAAACTTTAGCTGTTAAAGGTGTCAAGCGAGACTCAGATTTTGAGGGCAGCGGCCGCTGCACATACTCTCCTGTGGCATGTCTGAAAAACTTTCTGGCGAACGCAGCATTTTGAAAAAGAGCCCAGTCTCCATCCGTAACAGCCTCAGGTTTTCAAAACGAATGTCCGCGGCGCAAAGGCGAGAGTCCAACTGTTTCCCAACCATCCTGTGCTGTTGGTCCTCGTTTTGAATCAGCAGAGCCCCGCGTTCCCTCACTTCTTGTCCTTCCTCCCATCCCTGCCTATGCCCCCCGCTAGATATGACACCATCACCGTCATGCCCCGCTGGCAGGAATCGCATGCGAGTCGCGGCCATTTTGGCACAACCCTCACACGCTTCGTGGCCTCATAGGGAGCTCCACGGAAGGCCGCAATGGCAGGAATCACATGCGTTCCCGGTCCCATTTTGGCAACTCCCACGTGTTTCGTGACCTCATAAGGAGCTCTACCGAAGACCCCAATGAAAGGAATCGCATGCGTCCCCAGGCCCAGTTTGACGCACCCCTCTCACGTTTCGTGGCCCCATATGGAAACTCTACCGAATACCCCAATGACAGGAATCGCGTGAGACCCCAGGCCAATTGTGGCGCGCCTCTCACTCGCTTCAGGGCCCCATAGGGAGCTCCACTGACGCCCCCAATGCCAGAAATCACGTGCGTTCCAAAGCCTATCTTAGCACACCCTTCACACGCTTCGTGGCCCAAAGCGATGTTCCCTTCCGTCGTCCCTTGACGTGTGGTATTGCACATGCACATGATTAGGCCCCTCGCTGGCTCGCCAGGCTAATCCAACCAGCTCTCTGGGCGTGAGTGGTATGACGAGCTCGTTCTGCAAAACCCCTTCTTCTTCTTCTTCTTTCGGGGAAGAGTTTCCCCTCCCACCATCCCTCCCCCTGGGTCTGGAGGGGGCGTTCCGCGAGGGATTGGAGAGTCTGAGATGTTGCCGTCGCTCGGACGTCCATTTGCCGTGCATCGCTCGGTTTCGTGAAGTTGTTTCGCACGACGGCTCAAAATGCTCCCAGATGGTGCAGATGTTCCGGCGCTGGCTCCGCCGAGATAAACGCACAGGTCCGAACCCGAAAGTGTTTCAAGAGGGCCCCAAGGAGCTCAAAATGGCCTCACGGATCGCTGGAGATATCAAAAAAAAAACTTATACCCTTAAACTGGCACGGGTCGAAGAATCACCCTGGACCCCGTGGGGGCCAGAAACAGCGTCAACCTTTTGAAAGCGCAACAGTCACACACACACACACACACGCCCACACCCACCCTGCGTATGAATTTTTCAGGGGATCGGTCGGCCCAGTCGGCCCAGCCCGATCGGGCGCTCCCTCGCGAGTCGCCAGCAAATCCGAGCGGGCGCTCTCTCCTCCAGGTCTGGGCCCGACTCTGTGGCAAGCAAAACCTCGGGCCTGCGCCGCTTGGCGGCCCTCGGACTCTATGTGGCTCGAGGGCGAGTTCGGCAGACACTGCGATGGCCGATACGCGCCGTAAAACCCAGTCGGCCGATCGGTCGAAGATAGTGCCAGGCCCCCAAAAGGTATGATACTCTACATGGTTTTTGCCCCTGACCAAGAGGGGCGAACGAGGGGCCCAATACGGCCGCAAGAGCGCCCGCGTCCGACCCAAGAGCAGACCAAGAGGGCCCCAGCCCAAGAGGCTCCTTGAGGTCTCCGACGGGGGGAGACGGAGGGACTTTGAACTTTTTTTTCTGGGGGGTTCTAGCACTCCCGAGAAGGAGGAGGAGGAGGAGGAGGAACAAGGAGGAACGGCTCGAAATGGCTTCGCCGCGGATCCAGGCTCTTGCCGCATCTGTCAACGCTGCAAGACGCAACAGGACCAACGAATGCTACTAACATGCGGCCTTGTGCCAGGCCCTTGTGAGTGATTATGGCCGCCCGCCCCATCTGCGAGCCGTCGCGGAAACGCTTTCAGGCAATCTGCGAAGTCTGCAATGTGCAGCATGAACAACAAACACTACTGATCTGAAGCTTCTGTTTTGCACGCCGCGGGAAGCGGTCCAGGCGTTCGGATTCGCAATCTGTTAAGGTCCTGCAAGGCACAGCAAAACACAAGCGCTAGTACAACCAACGCACCCCCGAGACTCCAAAGGCACGATCCGAGAACTTGGAACTTGGGACCCCCCGCTTTGACCGACAGCTTCCAAGATGGCCCACAAGAGGGCCTCCACGTCTCCCAAGAAAGGCGCAAGTGCCCTCGCGAGGGTCTCACGAGGGGCCCAGGGGAATCCCAAGGGCGTCCCAAGAGCGCCACAACAGCTTCCAAAATTGCCCCAAGATAGCATCAAGATGGCCCCAAGACGGCCGCAACCTGCTATACCTTGATGAGAGACACTCCGACTGTTTTGGGATGGTCTGGCGGGGATATTTTTGCTCGCGAGCGCAAGCGGGAGAGCCGCGCGCCGTCACAAGGATCAAGCAAAGACTTACAAGCCGCGGCCAGGAACAAAAGCGCGCGCAGCGAGAAGCAGCAGAAAATTGCAGGCAGCGCGCCTGGCCCACACGCCGCTCAGAAGTCGAAGACAGCAGGGCCCGCGTGCCGAAGGGTTCGGCTGCGCCCAACTGCGAAGACGTCATCCTTGACGAACTTCTCCTCAACTACGACACAGCATGTGCCGATTGTGGAGCCAAAAAACCACCGCCGTCGTCAAGAACAATATCGCTTGACCACATCACGTGGGTGGGCAGCCTCTATAAGTGCCAAAAAGAACCTTGCATCCGGAGGGGCCACAATCGGCGATGCGCGCCGTCCGAGAAGTCGACGCACCACGGACCACGGCCCCCGAACGGAACCAGAGTGGGGCGACAGGTGCAGAGGCCACGGTTG